AGCTTGGTCTTTACTGGTGGCTTGGTAGGTTATGCTTTTGTCTCATATAAAAGACTGCCAGCCTGGTGTCCAGAGGGGAGCCCCGGAGAGGCCCAGCAACTGAAGCAGTTCCAAGTGGGCAGCCTTAGCTTTCAAGGTTGTGCACAAGGGTGGTGTCCAGGCTGAGGTAGGGCGGCACCTATGGGAATGAGGGAGTGGAGTTCTTTACATAAGCAAGTATTGCATTCCTCTTTGATGGCCTTGGAGAGATGCTGAGCCACAGCATGTTTTCTTGCCCATTGCAAAAAGAAACCTGGAGGAAGCTTGGAGGATCCTCTGTGCCACCACCAGTCCCTGAGGCCATGTGGTCTGGCAGATGGAGACACAGACAGTTGGGGAATCTTTCTCCCCATGGGATCATGGATGGGTGAGTCCCCTAATAACCATTCCAGGGGTCTGGAGGCAGTGAGGTGAGTGTGGAAGCCATAAGCCCTGTGCTTTGTTGTCCTCACTGGCTGTTCATGGTATGTCTTTAGGGAGTGGGAGCAGGAATCAAGGGTTTGAGGGCAAGTAGGTACACCTGGAATGTGTCCTAGGGCTGGGGTTTTGATTGGCCTTTGGGGACACACTTAAGGGCTGCTCAGTTGGGCAGAAACTAGAGGAACTGTGGCTGCTCTGCTCATATAAGCTGCTTTCCATGTGCCCTTAGTTCTGTGCGAAATGGGAAATGGATATTGAACGCTGAACCAGCATCACAGGTGGGCTAGAGAGTAGCCATAGGAGAGGACTATGCCCCTGGCTGCAGTTGTCCTAATCTGGGTCTTCTCTCATGGGGAGGTGAGAAGTGGGTAGGTGCTGGTGTGGGGGCCCAGATAAACTGTGAAGATGATAGGGTCATCTGCTTGGTCACATGGGGAAGGCTATACATATGCATTATTTTATTTTATTTAATACAGGGTCTAGTGTTTCACTACAAAGATTGAACTCATAGTGATTGTTCTATTTTCAGCCTCCCAAGCACTGGGGTCATAGGCACATGCCACCACGCCCAGTGTCATTCTTCTTAGCGCACTGTGGGGGCAGGGCCCAGGCACCATTGAGGCACTCCAGGGATTGAACCGAGGTCCCTTCATCTGCCTACGCTGGTGCTTTAATCCACTGGGCTATCTGGCCGGCCCTACATAGGCTTCTGTGTCACTGAGCCCATGAGGTTCAAAGAATGAAGCACATAGAAGATGCCCGTGTGGCAGGATCAACAGCAGTGCCTAATAAATGGTAGCTGGTGGTGTGTCCAGGAAGAAAAGGAAGGCATCGAGTTGAGCTACTGAGATAGGAATGTCTTGTGAAAAGCTCTCCCTGGTGGTTTGTTTCATATGAGGTGAGACATATACAGTGAAGTGGGGTGCCCTTAATGAGCTTTGAGGGTATATTCATCCTCAAATACAGGGGTGCCCAGAATAGAGCTACTCTTGCCTTGGAACATTCCTCTTGTCTAGTAGTACCTCAACTCAGCCCAGCTCAACCTTTATAGGCTTCTGTAATTTGGTGTCTGCCTGGTCTAGGTCTTGATGTGAGGGGCTTTGGGGATAGCTCAGGGGCACAGCGCCTGCCTGGCAAGCACAAGGTCTTGAATTTGATTCCCTGATACCAAAACAAAACCAAAGATCTTGATGTTAATGAAGTTAAGCTATCTCTACTCTTGGGTAAGGCTTCTTCCACTCAGCCTGTGTGAGATTCTTCCATGTTTGTGCAACTGTGCAACTGTTCTACCTTTTTTCTTTGAAGGATTGTTTTGTTTTCCTTTTTGGTACTGAGAATCGAATTCAAGACCTTGCACTTGGCTAAACAGATGCTGCGCTGCTGAGCCATCTCCTTAACCCCTCAAGGATTGTATACTCTTAAATTTTGCCTGTTAGTGGGGTGATATTTTCATCTAATGATGAATTTATTGAAATGTTCTCATCATAAGGCACATCTGTTCAGCAATTTGGTTTCTGATAATCCCATCCTCTAGCATACTTCATTTAGCAGTTGGCTGTGTACCCCCAAGGTAAGCTTTGCTGGGTTGGGTGGGGCCAGCTCTTTTAGAGTAGTTGCTTTATAGGAGACTAGACAGGCTTCTGGGGGCCCTCAAGGCTCTCAGGCTTAGTTAGCTCTACAAATCTAGCTCCCCTTGGTATATGTTGTCAGTAGTTGAAAAGCTCGTCAGTGCTGTTCTCTCTTGAGTGGGGATTTCCTCTAAGAGGAGTAGGGAGGGGAAGAAAAGGAGAGCAGCTACTGTGCTATTTTTCCCACATGATAAGGGTATTAATCATTCCTTCAACAAGGTCATCAGATGTCTAATAGGAACCTGGGAAAGTAATCCAGTCTTTTTGTTCACTGGTGAGAGTTGGGACCTTCTAAGGTCAGACTCTCTGGGGTCCATCAACAGGGAATCTGGAGTTGAGGGTTCCTAACCAAGGGTGCAATTTCTTTTCCACCTCTCAGTTTTGTCCCTTGGGAAAGTGTAAGTCAGCGATGGTGAACCTTACAGAGCTTTAGTGATATAGCCCACTGAAGCATACATGCCATAGGTTTGCCATCACTAGGCTAGGTCATATAGCCCCAGAGGAGTATCTCGTCAGCTGTGAAAGTCCAGGCTTGCTGTCCATTGCCTCAGATCGTGAGTATCCTAGGAACCAGTGTTCTGGGCCAGAATGGTCTGGGCTGGTCTTGCTGTCCTTGGGCTGATAGCTACACTGCTGGAGTTTCTTTGCAGTGGTTGCTGAGTAGCAACCTGTATTTTTATTCCTGGCACCTGCTAAGGTTAGGGATCAGCCTTTGTACTTTTTTTTTTTTTTTTTAAATGCATTTAGTATGTATGCAATGTGTTAATTATTGAAACTGTCCTACCAATTTGATTTGAAACTGTCTCATTGCTATTTGTTTATCAATAAAATTACGGGAAAAAAATGCATTTAGTACAGGGTCTACAGGGTGTCACTATGAATTTCGGACTCATATAGTGATCTTCCTGTTTTCAGCCTCCCAAGCACTGGGATTGCAGGTGCCTGCCACCATGCCTAGTCATCGCTGTCTCGGTGCACCCTGGGGGCAAGGCCAGCACAGCTTGCCAGGAATCAAACCCTGGCTGCTGCGCCCTGCCTAAGCAGGCACTTTAGTCCAGCCTTTATACTGGACAAACACCCACAACCCTGTTTCCCTGTCTGTCACTCTCCCAGGCTTGGTCTCTCCAGGGTAGGTCTCTGGTGGAGAGCAAAGAGGGTGGAGATTGGCTGTCTTGTCATTTGAGTGGAAAGAAAAGGGCAGTGCTTTGTAGGCTACAATTTACATCAAAGTTGGGTGTGGCCCCATCTCATGGAGTAAGGTAGATTTTCACTGGTAGGTAGGCTTGGCTGCCTTGGGTGTGGATGGCAGGCAGGGAAGAGCATTGTGCTTTTGTGAACTCTCAACAGGGTGCACAGTTGGGCACCCCACCCTGACTCCTGTAAGAGGAACAGGGAGGTAAAACCTCTTCCATTCTTTTGGGAGTGCTGTGTGACCCAGCTTGGGGGCTGTGTCTCCTGGGTTTTGAGACCTTGGTCAGTCACTCAGCTTAACCTGGGTTGGTAGAGGGCATTCCCAACCCTGAGGTGCTCAGGTGATCCTGAGTCAATCCTGTTGCATCCATTTTCTGGTGTACATACCTGTCAAGGGTGAGTAACCATTGGCTGCAGGGTCTGTGGGTGCTGAGACAGAGGTCACTGGACCCGAGGTTCTGAGGGGAGCCAGGCAAGCAGTAGGTGGGTTGGTCTAGGCTTCCTGGTGGGTGGCTGTCTGGCTCACATGTCATCTATGACTTCCTATTGATTCTTCTGGTCTGTCCTCACTAGTGTTTTGGCAGCCTGTGCATCCTTCCAAGGCTGAGGCTCAGCTCTGTCTCTTAACAGTCTTTTTATCTACTCTTGGGTAAGGAGACCCAGGCCTGGTATTCATTAAATGTGGAGTTCTTGGTTCTCTATCATCAGAGCGGGTTTTGCTGCCCTTTGGCATTTTGGTGGGATCCTGAGCCAACTGTATGCCCCACCCTCCACCCTCCACCCTGCATACACTCCTGCCCCATCAGAGGAAAGCTGGGGCAGGGGCTGTAGAGACAGCTGGCAGCCTGAAGCTGAGGCCTCTCAGCCTCAGGCCGGCACCCGGGTCTGGTCACATTCCTGAGGGACCTGCTGAGCCTCCCTGGCCCTGGGGGTTGGGTGGAGGAGGGGCAGGCAGGGATGGGTTCCAGGCTTCTAGAGCCCCTTCCCCCACCCATGGCTCCATTCCAAAGGAAGCCCAAGCAGCTTGAGTGGGGTGCAGAGATCCAGATCCCCTAAGATCCCCCTCCTGCAGCACCTAGAGTTCTGGATAAAGAAAGGCCATGCTCATCTGGCAGCAGCTGCCAGCTAGCTGCTTTGGCAGGCTAGTATTGAAAGGCCAGCCTGCAGCTGGGGCAAGCCCTCAGGCGGTGAAACCTCCTGAGAGGGGAGGCCATGTGGTCAGGCTGGGCAGGAGGGGGCTGGGCCCTCTGGGGAAGAGAAGATCTGGGAGGGAGGAAGGCAGGGGAGCCAGAGGCGGTTGAGACTGGTTCTTATAAATAGCCCTTGCACAAGTGGCTCCAATTTTGACCTTTTGTTATGTAAATGTGGCCAGCTTGGGAAGGGCTTGCCCAGGCCTCCTGCCACCTCTGCAGCCTGCCTGGAATTGTGTGCCTGCCACTAGTTCCCCTAGCTTAGGTGGCCCATGGAGTATCCTAAATCTTCAGGGTATATGTTAGGAAAGTAGTGAGTGCTCTCTCAGCTTCTCAGAACTGCTCCTGGGCTCCTCAACCTTCCTTGCTGTTGGGTGTGACTATGGGGCACTGTGGCCACTGTCTCTTGCTTGGCAGCCCTTGAACCTTTCTAGGAGTGAGGGATCCAGGGCTACCAATTGCCTGTCCTTTCTTCATAGTCCCTTCTTCATCTCTCTTTCTGTCTCTCTCCTTTGCTATGATACCTGAGTAATCATCTGTCTTCTCCTCAGGTGACCAGGCATTGATGCACCCCCAGGAAGCCCACGCACTCAAGGAGGCTGTCCCCTCTGGCTGCTGCTCACATGGTTTCTGGGCCCCTGGCACTCCGGTAGGCCGAGGGGGAACCCTGGGGGAGGGAAGATGGATGTCTGCTCCTTATCCCTGGGGCTTTCTGGGTAGCCGTGCAGCTCTGCAGCTCTGGCCTAGCCAGTGATCCCTTGTGTGCACCCAGTAGTAGATAATGTGGAGGAAGTCTGAGGCCAGCTGCCCTGGCCTGGCCTACTATGGGTCCATTGATTTTCCTGTACTTGCCTTGTCCCCCTTGACAAGCATGGGGAACCTGGTGCCCTGGGGGCTGGCAGAGCTGGCATTGTCGTTGTCCTGGGTCCTAGTGTGGAAGGCACACCTTGTGTGCTTTGTGCCTGCAAGGCTGGTGGGGCACAAGGATGGAAGAGAGAGCTGGTTCCTGAAATCTCCAACCTTTGAACACCTTCCCAAGCAGACTCAGCCTGGCCTGGCTTAGCCAATTCCTCTCCCAGAGCAAGAGCAAGTGACAGGTATAGCAGGTGCTTACTGTGAAAGGCTAAGTTCTAGCTTTTAGTGTGTGTCAACCCATGTTCATTGATAGTGACTTCTGGAACTTTGGGTACTTGTCTTTAAACAAGGGCAGATGAAAGGAGGGCAGGGCTTGGTGGACGTGATCCCCTTCAGGGCTCTGGTGCTCTGGGAGATAGGCCTGAGTACCCTGGGAAGGTAGGAGGTCCTGGGTGGTGAGGTTTGGAGCAGGTTCATCTACTTACAGAGAATGGACCCTGAGTGGGAGGGGACACAGTTGCTTGTGGGAACTGCTGGAGGGGACAAAAATAGCAGCTTCATGTTTTGGGCCCTGCTGCTCCAGTGCCAGCAGCCATAAATCAGTGGAGAAAGTGTCCATCTCCATGATCCCATCCTGATCCATAGTCAGCTAGGCTATGAGGACGGGGCTGGTGGTGCTGTTTCTCTCAGCTGGGAATTGGGTTGGTACGGAGGTTGGCCTTGAGTACTGTTTTGGTCACCTCTGATGGCAGTGTTGGTCCTTCTGCCCTGGGAGGGACATTTGCATCTTTCCAGGGCTCATTCTGCATTTCCGTGCTCTTGCTCTTATCCTACACAGTACCCTGTGTGACAGGCAGGTTGCCAGAACAGGTAAGGAGACAGGAAGGGTGGAGACTGGTTGGACTTCCCACTCTCCACCCCCACCAGGTGGCTGAGGGTTCCTATAGGGACCAAAAGCATCTGTGTATTTACTCCAACTACCTACTGGGGATTGAAGCTGGGACCTTCATATTGAGCTACAGACCCAGACATTTTAAAATTTTGAAGTAGGGTCTTGTTAAATGGTCTAGGCTATGCTGGAATTTGTGCTCCTCATGCCTCAGCCTTTCAGAGTGCTGAAATTACAGATGTGCACCACCACACCTGGCTCATTACTTAATGACCTCAGTTATCATTTGTCCCAGCTTCTCTGATTGGGTCAAGCTCAGAGAAGTCTAGGCTCAGATGGTGGCTGCTCTTCTCAGAAGGGTACAGGGCCCAGGAGGTTCAAGGCTGGGGCAGTGCCCGTTGGCTGCTCATTTGAGGTAGTCCTAGGTAGAGGTGGGCTCTGCAAGGTTCAGCAGCCAAGGGAGTGGCCAATGTCTAGGAGGCAGAATGGGAACTTGATGTATCAGAAAGCCTGGGTTACTTTGAAGGGTGTTTGAGAGGCACCCCAGGGTACAGCAGAGGTTGCCAAACCAGAGGCTGGCAGATGTATTTGATTTGGCCCATATACCATTTGTAAAAAGAACTTTCTTTTAGCATAGAGAGATTATACATGAATATCTAGATTTCAAACTTGTCTGGAAAGCTGGGAAGACCAGCTCTGTGAGTGCATGCCTAGGCGGGACTAGTCATGAGCTCCCTTACATCTCTAGGGGCCTCTGCTCTTCAAATTCCATAGCCACCTGCTGCTCTTTTTTGAGTCCCACGCTTGTCTCTGTGGGCCCATGGTTTACTCCTTTTACGTGGAGACAGTACCTGGGTTGTGAAGTCAAATTTAAACCGTAGTTTGCTTGGCACCTTCATGACACTGGACTTGCATTTTCTCCTTGGTACAAATGGTTGAGGGGATTGATTTGTTTTCTCTGAGACAACTGGAGTCCTTGGTGAGGTGGTACCCGCACAGCACCTGTACCCTGTGAACTGTGCCCAAGGCATTAGGACTGAGTCTGGGTTCTATTGCCAGGTCAGTGTAGAGGCCCCTTTGTGTGCCATGGGGAGCCCTGCCCTGCCCCAGTGCCCTGATACTAGTTTAACATGCATATGTCTGTTCTTGCCTGCAGGTGGTACGCGTGGGCAGGGCGTGGGGATATGGGGCCCGACATGGAGCTGCCCAGCCACTCAAAACAGCTCCTGCTGCAACTGAACCAACAGAGGACCAAGGGCTTCCTCTGTGATGTTATCATCATGGTGGAGAACTCCATTTTCCGGGCCCACAAGAATGTCTTGGCTGCTAGCAGCATCTACTTCAAGTCCCTGGTTCTGCACGACAACCTCATCAACCTGGACACAGATATGGTCAGCTCCACGGTGTTCCAGCAGATCTTGGACTTCATCTACACGGGCAAGCTGCTGCCCAGCGACCAGCCTGCTGAGCCTAACTTCAGCACTCTCCTCACTGCCGCTAGCTACCTCCAGCTGCCTGAGTTGGCAGCATTCTGTCGCCGCAAACTCAAGCGGGCTGGTAAGCCCTTTAGCTCTGGACGGGTAGGAGCCACCAGCATGGGGCGGCCGCCCCGCAGCCAGCGACTGTCCACAACCTCTGTCATCCAGGCTCGGTATCCAGGGCTCGTGGATGGGCGAAAGGGGGCCCATGCACCCCAGGAGCTTCCCCCAGCCAAAGGCTCAGATGATGAGCTGTTCCTTGGTGGCTCCACTCAGGAGAGCACGCACAGCTTGGGCCTGGGGGGCTGTAGCAGCAGCACCAATGGGAGCAGTGGAGGCTGTGAGCAGGAGCTGGGCCTGGACCTTTCCAAGAAAAGCCCACCCCTGCCTACTACCACCCCTGGCCCCCACCTCACTCCTGATGACCCAGCCCAGCTGAGTGATAGCCAGCATGGCTCACCTCCCTCATCCTCTGCCCTGCCTGTTGCCAACAGTGCCTCTTACACTGAGCTGGGTGGCACCCCTGATGGATCAATGGATTTGGATGGAGCTGAAGACAACCACCTTGGCTTGCTGGAGGGACCAGGCGGGCAGCCTCGGAAGAGCCTCCGGCACTTGGGTCGAAAGAAGGAATGGAGCAAGAAGGAGCCCACGGCTGGTTCTCCCTTTGAGCGAAGAGAAGCTGGGCCCAAGGGCCCCTGCTCTGGAGAGGAGGGCGAGGGGCTTGGGGACAGGGTTCCTAATGGCATCTTGGCTGGCAACATTGGTGGGGGTGGCTCCAATGTGCCCTATGGGGAACCCCCGTATCCCTGCAAAGAAGAAGAGGAAAATGGCAAGGACGGGAGTGAGGACAGTGGGCAAAGTGGAAGTGAGGGGGGCAGTGGCCATACAGGTGCCCATTACATGTATCGGCAGGAGGGCTATGAGACGGTGTCATATGGTGACAACCTGTATGTATGCATCCCCTGCGCCAAAGGTTTTCCCAGCTCTGAGCAGCTCAATGCCCATGTGGAGACGCACACAGAAGAAGAGTTGTTCATCAAGGAGGAGGGAGCCTATGAGACAGGAAGTGGGGGTGCTGAGGAAGAGGCTGAGGACCTGTCCGCGCCCAGTGCAGCGTATGCAGCAGAGGCCCGGCCCTTCAAGTGCTCTGTCTGTGAGAAGACCTACAAGGACCCAGCCACTCTGCGGCAGCACGAGAAGACGCACTGGCTGACACGGCCCTTTCCCTGCAACATCTGTGGCAAGATGTTCACACAGCGTGGCACTATGACACGCCACATGCGGAGCCACTTGGGCCTGAAGCCCTTTGCCTGTGATGAATGTGGCATGCGCTTCACCCGCCAGTACCGCCTCACTGAGCACATGCGTGTACACTCAGGCGAGAAGCCTTATGAGTGCCAGCTCTGCGGGGGCAAGTTCACCCAGCAGCGCAACCTGATCAGCCACCTGCGCATGCACACCTCCCCCTCCTAGAAGCCAAAGACCCGTGGGTACCCTCTCAGACTCACCATCCGGGAACCCACAGAAAGAGAAGCAAGGCGGCATGGTGGAAGGGACCGGAGCCCAAGGTCCAGCTGTAGGCTCCTGGTGGCCCTCTAGCCCAGCCTCCCCACACTCAGAGCTTTAATCAACAGTCTGTACCAAGAGAAGCCAAGAGGAGAGAAGCCGGAAGACCCACCCCTGTGCATGTGGTGCTGGTGACCATTCTACCTCCCTGCCCCACCCAGGGTCCCAGCTCCCTGCAGGGGCAGCCGCAGAGCTGGTGGGAGTGGGTCACATGGGTCTCACTGGGACCTGGTCCCTTTCCTGCAGGCTGGGTTGGAGAAGGGGAAGTGTGTAGGGGATGTCCTCCTCCATACTGGTGAGGGACAGGGCTGCCTGTGGCCAGGGGTGGTAACTGGAGCAGGGCCCTACCCGGCAGGGACCGTGTCTGTGTGCGTGCACGTGTGCTTGTGTCTGTGTGTGGGTGTGTGCAGCCCTAGCTCTGAGGAGCAAGTGTTGAGGGGACAGCTCCTTCCCTCTGCACTTGAGCCAGGGTGGCATTGCTCACTGGCGCTGGGACAGTCAGGGTGATCCCATCGCCTACCTCTACAACTAAAGAGCCCTCTGGGCCTGTGTTGCTGTTATTCCTACTGATCTGTTTCTTTGTTGTTCCGTTTTGTTTGTTTTGTTTTTCTTTTTGAATTTTAAATTCTGTTTTTTAAACCAAAACAAACAATAGTTTATTTTCTTCCTGCCTCTTTGGGGCTGAGCCTGGGTCTGCAGACTGAATGTAACCGGGGCAACTGCCTCTCCCTGTCATTCCTCCAGCTCTGGCAGGTGCTGTGAGGTGCAGCAGTAAGCCCATCTCTCCAGGCCCAGAAGCCCTTCTTGCCCAAAGGCTTCCGTGGTCCCCAGCCTTGCCTGGGCCACCTCAGGAGAGTGTGCTTTTCCTGTAGTTTCTGAGGAATATTCTTTGTCTAGAGGTACTTGTTTTTTTATTGAGAAAGCCCCTTGTAACATTTGTGGGACTGTTGGAACTGGAAGGTCTGGGGGGTGGGGGGAGGCTGGACTCAATGCCAGGATCGTTGGTACTCACGTATTTCATTTCTGTGTGTGTGTGTGGTAAGTGTGTGTGCTGTGTGTGTGGACAGATGTTTCACTTTCCTTCCTTGCTGAATAAGGTGGAGAGACTTCTGACCTTTTGCTACCTCTTGAATTCACGGAAACAGTATGTTGGTGATGGGCAGTTGAGGCCTAGATGCTTTTGTTTTCCTCTAGGGGGAGTGAGCCGGGCTCGGGCTGGCCTGAGCATCCTCCTGGGTCAGTCACTGTCCTTGGGGCCCCCACTGCTCACTGAGTCCAGGTGAGAGTTGAGAGTCCCTGGTATGGGGCAGGCTGTGGGGCAGGTACAGGGCATCTGAGCAAGAGGAGCTGGAAGGAGGGAACAGGTCTCAGCAGTTCCCTGCCAGCGCCAGGATGAGGTGGAAGTGAGCCCCCTCCCATCCTGTCTCCTCACATTGAGCTTTGAGGAGCTGACCAAAGCATGGGGACTGAGTATTGGCACCTCAGAGCAGGCCTGGCCTCAGCTACTCTGGTAAGAGCCTGGCTACCACTTATGGGCTCAGTTTATCTGGGGTCCCACTCTTGCCCCTGAACTATGGCCTTCTTGGTCAGCTGCAGTACTCCATGGGCCCTAGCTGGACTCCAGGCCAGACCAACATTTCCATGCTTGCCCCAACGTCCTTGGCCAACTGGAGTCACAGGGCTGGGCCAGCAGGCTTTATCTTACTCATTCTGTTTCATGCTTTTCTTTCCTTTTTTCCTTTTGATTTTTAAGTTCAGACCAAAAAAATTCCAGAGTCATCCCCTACCCCCAGCCCTCCAAAGACCGTCCAGCTGCAAACAGCCTGAGTTCAGGGACCTGAGCGGTGAATGGTGTGTTTTTGGGAGTGAGGGGCTCTGGCCACATGAGGGCTTCTGGCTGAGCCTGCCATGTGGTGTCCCCAGCTGTTCCCCCTTACCTTTGGGTGGAAGACAAAGAACTGGACCCAAGGTCTCAATTCCAGCTAGTCAGGCTGAGCACCTGACAGGAGACTCCTGGGCTCTACTCCACCCAGTGAGGGGGCAGGGCTGTCCTAGGGCCCCTGTTCTCTTAACCCCACCCCACCCATCAGCACTTAAGCCACACGACACAAAGTCTGTACCGCACGGGAATTGTGTATACGCCTGGCTGTGTTCATGGCCTCCTGGGCCGTGGGCAGCCACATCTGTGAGGTGACTCAAAAAGTAGGTGATTCCTCTGCAGAACTTCAGGGACTGGGAGCAAAGCCCCCTCACTCAACGACGTCTGTGCGACATAGTATTGTACCCACCTTAGTATTGTATCAAGCCTTTTCTGTATTTTAATGAGAAAGCAAAACACTAGTTTCCTATTTAAAAGATTTTAAGGGTTTACGGGGTGGGACAGGGTTGACACAGCATTTGGTTTTGTTTTCCTTTTCCTTTGACTCCATGTCTGGTGCGTGCTTGAGAGAGTGTGTGTGTACAGATGTTAAGAGCCTCACAAGGAAATTGGGCCGTAGAGGCCAAGGCGGCTTACAGTTCTCTGCTTTAGTCACTTAATTCCTGAATGTTTCGGAGAAACAGGAAACAGAATAGCAGATGTCATATAGGAAAGAAAATAAAAACAACAACAAAAAGGAAAAAAAAAAAAAAAGAAAGCTCATACCCAAATTCACAAAACCTATTTTTTAAACCAAAGCACATTTTGAATGAGTATGAAACCTCAATGGGCTCAGAAAAAAGATACTAATATATTTATCTCATTGTTTACATAAACTTCTACAGTTTCAGACCTCAGCAGCTGTAAGGCCAGTCCCAGGGAATCGTCACCTTCTGCTGGGGTGTTCTTCTGAGTTGGCCCTGGAACGACTCATGGGCAGAGAGGTAGGCCTGGGGTCAGGAACAGGCTGGACGCCTCCCTGGACTCACCTGAGCCTTCATCCCCATTCCTGGGACCTCTCCGAGCCCAGCTGGCACCAAAGAGCTTGGGCTAGTGCTGACCAGCCCCTGTGGTCTCATGGCTGGACCTCTGTGGTTCTGACCAATTGTCACAGGGGGGCTGTCAGCTCTGGCCACAGGACCTGAGTCTGGGCTTGGGACCCAGGGTGGAAGTGAGCTCCCTTTGCTGCTCTGCCCATGACTCTCCGGGGTGGGTTGATGTAAGGGTCTCACTTAAGCCAAAAAGCCAGGACCTTTGCACAGCTTAGTCAACTCAGTGTGTTACTACCCCAGGCAGCAGAAGGGGCTGACTGGGCCTGGTCCTTACCAACACAGACGGTGCAAACACTCTTAACAGTGTTGTTTTTTGTATCAATATGTTTGTGCAGTGATGAATGTATTTATTTCTCAGACCTGGGGCGAGTGAGCTGGTGTGTGGTAGGCCTGGCTCTGCCACTGCCCACCCCCGCCTGACTGAGCCATGGCAAGGGCTCCTCCAGGATTGCAAAAAAGGAAAAAAGAAAAGAACCTTTAAGCAAATAATCTCAGAGACTTGCAGCATAGCCATATACCACAGCCTGTGAAATGAACAATCTGGACCCAGACTGACTCTCCAGAACTCATTGAGTCAGGGGGGGATGTTTCCCGTCCATCACCACTGGGGAGACTGGGCCACTGGCCCACTGCCCCACATCAGTATTCACTGGACCTCAGGCCCCTGTGCAGGAGTGCGATCTAGCTAGGCTGGTGGGCAGGCAGATTCTTGCTTTCCTGTGGCTGTCCTGAGTAGGGGAAACCTGGGCAGCCAGGAGGGCAGGGTGCAGAGCTGGTGCTACTTCCAGTCCATCCCCAGGCTTGGGGAGCAAAAGTTGAAGGCGCCAAACTGAGAAGGGCAGACAGAGTCCTCAGCCCTGCCATGCCCCCTTCAAGGGACCAAGGTCCTTTTCATCCCCTGAACCATGTTGGGGCCGATGTTACTGAACCTGTGAATTGGATGCCAGGAATGAGGGGATGGAGAGGGACCCGAGCAGAGCCTGAGTGTGACATTCCAAACCAGGGATGGGTGGGATCTGTGGGAATTGCTGCCCAGGATCCCCTTCCTAGGATGCCCCCAGCTTTAGTCACCCTCTTAATTTTCTACCAGGGACCCCTCCCCCTACCTCACCTTGCTATTTATTGCTGTAATTTATTGACCTCAAAAATGCTGCATAACAGACCTCATTTGGGACAGGGAGGGTCCCCAGGGCTCCCCCCTTCCACTTGGCAGGGCCCCGTGGGGCCAGGTGCTGAGGGGAGCCTCTCTGTATCCTACTCATCACTTGCTTCCCCCTGCCCCTCTGGGGGCCCCTGGTTGGGCACTGGCCCATTTGCAAATACCTCGAGGGGGAGGGGAAGGGATGGGGTTATAGCTGTTCTGTTTCATTGGAACTGGAAGAGGGATCATGTCCTACTATGCCCTTGGGGGGTGTACGCTGGGATCGCACTCCTGTACTGGCCACTGCCATTGTCATTCATATTGAGTTCACCTCCCTTGAAAATTTGGATAAATTCAGGTCGGAGCTGCAGGTACGCAGCCCTCCAGTGTCATAGAAAAATGATTCACTGACGACTGATCTCTCCATTCAGAAGCGTGCAGTCTTAATGTACAGTGATGAGAAACTGTTATTTTATGATCTTTTCATTAAAAGCTTGATTGAAAACTATCTGGCATGGGGTCTTTATTCTATGAATATTCTCTGAGAAAGTGACAGAGGGCTTCTGAGCTGTAGGTTGGACCTGAGATGGGCACCTTTCTGCCACTTTCCAGAACTCTAGTGGTATCTGTGGTCATGAGCCAAGGAGCTAGCCTTTTGATGTTGACATGGGTACGCCTGAACTGATGTGGTTGAAGCTGTGCAGGAAGCAGCGGATAATGGACAGGGTGGTTATGGACCTAGTTGCTGGGATGAGGAAGTCTGGTCAGTGCCCAGGACCCCACTGGCATAGCAGGGTTGGGTGCAAGGGAGTTTTGAAGCAAGACTCATGCCCATTGTTCCTTCCTGTTTGGCCTGAGGTAGAGAAGGAAGGAAAAGGATAGTGTTCATCTGTGGGGTGGTGGGTGGGGCTGGGAGTCCCAGAAGAGTCAGGATTGTGGGTTGGGGAGTGCAGATGAACAAGGAGATTGCCACTTAGACCCCTGATGAGATGGCTGACTACTGCGGTGGCTCTGAGGCCATTGCCAACAAACCCTTAAACTCTAGATCTTGGTAAGTTTAAAGTCTAGGTAAGCTGTATTGAGTTGTTTTATTCCTGAGTGTAATTTAAATAGTTCTTGCTGGGCGTGGTGGTGCATGACTATAATCCCCAGCACTTGGGAGGCTGAGTCAGGGGATCATTGTGAGTTTAAAAGATCAGCCTGGGCTACAAAGTGAGCTCAAGGCCAGCCTGAGCTGCATAGCGAGACCCTGTCTCAAAAAACCTCCCAGAAAAGAAAAAAAAAATTTTTTTTTAGTTTAATGTATTTGGTACGTGGTCTCACTACACAGCTCAGCCTCATAGGGATCCTGTTTTCAGCCTCATCAGCACTGGGATTAGAGGCATGGACACCGTACTGGATCTCAGTGGCCTGGGGTGGGGCCAGCATGTCATGTGCGGGGAATTGAACCTCAGTCCCTGTGCTTGCCTAAGCAGGGGCTTATTAGTCCGCTGAGATATCTCCATGGCCCTCAAGTTTTTTTGTTTTTTGTTTTTTTTTAATGTATTTAGTACAAGGGATTCAGGGTCTTACTATGTAGATAGCACTCATGATCCTCCTGTTTTCAGCCTCCCCAAGCACTAGGATGGCAGGTGCCCACCACACCCAGTCTCAATTGCAGTCTCAGTGTGCTCCAAGGGCGAGGCCTTCATGGCATGCTGGGAATTGAACCCCAGCCACATTGCCACTGTGCTCAAGTGGTTTTTTTTTTTTTTTTTTTTTTGGCAGAACCGGAAATTGAACTCAGATCCTTGCATTTGCCAGTCAAGCGCTTATCCTACTGAGCCATCTCCCCAGCCCCTCAAGTGGTTCTTAATTAGGATAAAAATATTAATTGTCCTCACAACTCATGCCATTTTGTAAAGCAAATCACTGAATTGATCTTAATTCCTGCATTTATCTACATTTCTAGGTATAGTTAAACCTGGTAATGTGACTTGCCAATTGATATTCACTGTCACATTAATTTCGATTATTTACCACAGAGCTACATGGTGCACTGGGTCTTTATCATTTTTATTTAATAACTACTTAGTTCTGTTGAGTTTAATAGGATTTTTAGTTGCTCACATTTATCTTTATTTTGTAGTCCTGGGGATCAAACTAGGACTTCTATACCTGGGCAGAGCTACATCCCTAGCCCTCAGTCCTTTTTTTTTTTTTTTAAAAAAAAAAAACAACAACTAAGAAATAGCACCCTGAGATACTACCACTGAGCTATTTCCTCGGCCTTTTTTATTTTTAGACAGGGTCTCACTGAGTTGTCTAGATGAGACTCAAACTTAAGATCTTTCTGCCTCAGCATCCTTCATTGGTGGGTCTACAGTTGTGTGCAGCTATTGTGTTTTGATCTACTTCGTAACTGATAGCCTCCAGCACAGCTTTTCACATGGATGCTATTTGTTCTGGTTTTGTTGGTGTATTTTTTTTCTAGAGGCTGCTAGTGTCTTGCATTAAAGCCTGGTCTTGGGTTTCATATGTTCTCACTGCAGGATTATGTTCTTGTCTTGGTTGCATGTTTTGTTTAGCACTATCCTGAGAGCACACTAGAAATAAGTATTTTGAGACTGACTGCTAACAAATGCTTTTAAGCCATGTTACCTTGATACTTTGGTTATTAGAAAAATACATTAAAAAATACTTGGGTTATTGAAGCATAGTTTAGGTAGCCTTGTCCCACTGAATTGTGAAGGTAACACACCCTTGGGTTCTACCAAGTTTCTGATAAGTTTAGTTACTAGAAGTTTTTGGGATCTTTTAATTTAGTTAAATGGCCTCTCTACTTACTGAGCTGGTACTTGAAGGGTTGGTTTCATAGGAGAGACTCGGTGCCTTCTATAAGTTTTTTTTATTTACTTTATTTTTTATTTATTTTTTTAAAATTAAGCATTCATTATAAAAGGTGATTCGTTCTTTTTTTTTTCTATAATTTTATTGAGAAATAGCAATGAGACAGTTTCAAACCAAATTGGTAGGACAGTTTCAATAATTAACATATTGCATACATTCTTCCTAGTGGTTAATTGCTGTACAAAATATGGACTTGATATCCTATTTACAAACACCATTACAACAAATCCCTCTATTCGCTAAGAGAATGTAACTATATATCTATCCTAACCTCTTTGAATACACAGATACAA